TGCATGCTATCAACATAAATAAATAAATAGTAAACAAATATTAAAACATCTTTCTTGAGGTTATTTTACATATACTAATATATACTCATTTCAAGTATGTAATTCAATAATTTTTAGCGACTTTACCAGTGGTGCAGCCATTTACCATAAATTTGTTTTAGCCCATTTTCTTCCCTGTGAGATCCTTCATGCCCGTTTACAGTTAAATTCCATCCCCTCCCTCTGGGCAACCGTGAATTTTCTTTCCGGCTGTATAAGTTAGCCTTTTCTTGGCATTTTGTATAAATTGAATCATACAGTGTGCGGTCTTCTGGCTATTTATATATTTCTTTATAACCCCAGTGAGGTTTTACATCCTCATCGTACAGATCCTCATTTCACAGACGAGGAAATGGGAACAAAGGGGCATCCAGTGCCTTGTCCAAGGCTATGTGTCTGGCATGAGCAGAGAGTCTGATGCCAGGCCGTCTTAACCCCTGTACTCATCTGTACCTATTTTCTTTCTTAATGAACTTGCATAATAAAATCTCACCATCGTATCCTTTACATTTTGTTTGAAGTTTCACTGGTCTGTGAGGTCCTCGGGTCTGGAAACCACTGGCCTGATGGTGTTGTTTCTTATCTTGCATTTCCTGCTTTCAGGTGGGTGGGCTAATGCATGAGCAGGGAGACACAGGTCCAAGATGGGCTCTGGGTCTGCTTCCCTGGGCCATGAGACACCTGTAGTGAAGGCTGCACTCACTAGGGAGGAAACACCTGGAGTCTGGGACCAGAGGTCCTTTCTTCCCCTGCTGGGAGGGGTTCCTGTAGAGTGAACTTCCCACTGTCACCTTTCTGCCTCTGCCCACTTCTGTGGGAAGGAGGGGCTGAGAGGGATCTGGAGGTTCTAGACCAAGGGCACACCTGTTCTGGCGTTAGCTGCTTCCTCTGCCCCTCTACCCATCTAGTATTCCAGCACTGTTTTACCTGATGAAATCACGGCTGCTAGCAGAGAAACTTCCTCATCTGGGTGACGGGGAATTTGTCATAGAGGATTGGTTCCCATTTCAACCTCGCAGTCACCAGCTTCTATAAGGGCGTCTTCATCTGTGTGGCCTCGGAGCAGCCTTGCTTCCCTCTGAAACTGCAAGCCTTGTGATTATGTGTGTCAGTTGGCATTTTTCTGTGAGAAGAGAAATCCAGAGTATCCTTTAAAGGAGAGGCCTTCTTCGAAACAAAACAAAACTGGATAGTGGCAGCATCTCTCTCTCTTTTTTTTTAATTTTTTAATGTTTATTTTTGAGAGAGAGAGAGAGACAGAGCATGAGCAGGGGGAGGGGCAGAGAGAGAAGGAGACACAGGATCTGAAGCAGGCTCCAGGCTCCAAGCTGTCAGCACAGAGCCCAACGCGGGGCTCGAACTCAAGAACTGTGAGATCATGACCTGGGCCAAGATCAGACGTTTAACCGATTGAGCCACCCAGGTGCCCCCGCATCTCTCTTTCAGCAGCCTATAAGAGCCAGGACTCTGCTGGTACTTTACAGTCATTACCTCTCTTCATCCTTACAATGGAACTGTGAGGCAGGTGCTGATGCTACTCCCACCTACACATGCTAAAAGCGAGGTATCGAAAAGATGAAGTAACCTTTCAGGTAACCGAAAAGTTTCTGGGTTTCCTCCTCACACCCTCCCCTTTTTATTTGAGGTGACATTCACATAATGTAGAATTAACCATTTAAAGGTGCCCGATTCAGTGGCATTTCGTATGGTCACAGCGTTGTACAACAGCCCCCTCTGGTCTAGTTCCAGATGTTCCTCACACCCAAGGAAGTCTCTGGACCCAACAAGTCATTCTTATTTCCCCTCTCTCCAGGCCCTGACAACCACTTGTCCGCTTTCTGTCTCTCTGGATTTGCCTATTCGGGATAATTCACGTAAACGGAGTCAGATGATACGTGACCTTCTGTGTCTGGCCTCCTGCACTCAGCATCACATCTTCAGCTTTCACCCACGTGACGGCGAGCATCGGCCCTACATTCCTATTTATGTCTAACAACATTCATTTTATGGATGTACTGCGTTTTATTGGCCCACTCACCCCCTGATGGGCATTTGGGCTGTTTCCACCATTTGGTCATCATGAATAGTGCTGCTGTGCCCACATATGTTCATGGACATGTCTCAGTGCCTGTTGTAGGTCTTTTAGGTATCTGTCTAGGAGTGGACTTGCTGGGCCATGTGATAATTCTTTGTTTAAGTTCTTGAGGAAACGACACACTGTTTCCACAGTGGCTGCACCATTTTGCATCTCCACCAGCAACGTACAAGAATTCCAGTCCTCCATAGCCTCACCAACCCTTCTTATTTTCCTTAAAAAAAGAAAAAAATCAGGGCCATCCTAGCAGGTGACAAGGGGGACTGCCTCTCACTGTGATGTCGATTTGCGTTTCCCGAATGACTCGTGATGTTAGGCATCTTTTCATTTACATGTTGGCCGTTTGTATATTTTGTATTTTCTTTGGAGAAATGCCTATTCAAATCCTTTGCCCTTAAAAAAAAAATCCTTTCTTTTTTTTTTTTTTTTTAGTTGTAAGTATTCTTTATAAATTCTGGATACTAGAGCCTTATCACATATATGATTTGCAGATATTTCTTCCCAGTCCATAGGTTGTCTTCACTTTCTTGATAGTGTCCTTTGCTGCACAAAAGTTTTTAATTCTTATGATACCCACCTCATTTTTTCTTCTGTTATTTGTGTTTTTAGTGTCCTGTCTGAGAATCTGTTGCCCATCTAAGGTCGTGAAGATTTCCTCCTGCATTTTGTAAATGATTTTTATAGTTTTAGTACTTCCATTTAGGTCTTTGGTCTATTTTGAATTCATTTTTTTGTGTATGGTATGAGGTAGGGGTCTAACTTCCTTTTTTGGCATGCGGGTATCCAGTTTTCCCAGCACCCTCACTGCCCTTTTTTGGGATGCTCGTTTCTCGAGGCAGAGCCCAGGTTTCACTTCCTTTTCTCTGCCTTCCTCAGTGCCTTTGCCAGTGCCCGGCACATTGCGGGTGGGGGAGGCAACTGGGCATTGAGTGAATGAGTGAATGTGAGTGCCTGAGCCCCTGTCTTATCCCAAGAGGCAGCCCGCGCACGTGAGAAGCCCAGGGGCTGAGTGACCAGGTCCTTTTCTTTGATCTACAGGTGCAGCCAGCGTCATTGTCGGTCACCCTCTGGACACGGTCAAGGTACTTCAACCACGTTTGCCATTACCTCTTGGAAGGGGGCCTGGAGTGAGTCTGCCTCCAGGAATGCATCTGCTGTTTCTGATCCCAAGACAGTCTCCAGCCTAGGGCAGATTCTGTGTGCCAGCCCAGGGAGGGGGGTGGTGCACCAGGAAGACTGGTTTGGATCATCCTTCTCCTCTCATTACTTGGCAGTGATTTTGTTTTTGTGAATGTCCCATTTCTGCCTTGAGGTTCTCATGGGCTGTGGGGGAGGGGGCCAAGGCAATGGTGAGTATCCCCTTAGTCTCTGTGGAACTAAGAAACTGGGAAACGCTTCAGATGTGAAGCGGCCTCGGAGTCCAAAATTTAAGGTTGGGTTTTAGGTGATTAGAAAAGATGTTCTGGGCATGGAAAGCAGTGCGGGCAGAGGCGGAGATGGGGACACTGCCTGGGGGCCATGCTTGGGAAAAGCGTGGCCAGTGTTGCTGATGCCTCAGGTTTCTGAAAGCACCTATAGGATCAGAGTCCAGGAAAGGTGGGTCAGCACTTAATCTTTGGAAGCCTTCAGTATCAGGTTAGGACTGTGGATTTGGGCTGGGGTTGGCAACTGTTGTAAGGTGACGTAGTGCATGGAGTGTGAGGACTCAGTGGGGCCATCTGACATTGGGATCATCCATGCTCCTTGTTCTACACATAGAGAAACTAGCCCGAAAGGGGAAGGGGCTTGCCTTAGGTCAGACAACAGCTTAAAGCATTGAAGAGTGAGGTGAGTGCCCCCCGTCCTTGCCATCCGTCCCCAGGACTCAGAGCCTTACCCTAAGAGCATGGTCACGAAAAGTGCCTTCTCACCCCTGACTTGAACATTCATGTCTAAGGCTCTGGCTGGATCATGCACAAAGAGGAGCTGTTCAGGCCCTTCCCAGCCGGCTGCTACAGTCCCTTTTCTCCCCGTCTTCCTCCTTTTGGGACAGTGTGCCCCTCTTAGGTCAGAGCCCCGGCCTGCTCTCTTCTTGACAGGGCGTCAGCCCATTTGTCTGGAATAATTGAAGATATTTCCTAGCTCCTTGTATCCCCCTATGGCCCTGTCTTTTGCTCCTACATCAAACACCTACTAGACACTTGTTTTTGCAGGCAGTATGGGGATAGCAAGGCATCAGTAGGAGACAAAACATGTCCAATCCCTGCCCCTGTAGGCCTTCCGGCTACATTCCTGGCACAGGCAACCATTGTGTCTCCCGGGGAGAGTGTCCTTCCCTTACCCTCAGCGTGACCAGGAGCTGGTGGAGCTTTTGGAGGCATGCCCTCCCCACACAGGCAAGTCTGGCCACCTGAAAAGGTGGAGCTGTCCTCCTCTCCACTTTGCCCCTTCCTGATACATCAAATCCAGTCTCTGCCCAGCCTGAGAACCTCTTCACTCAGCACACCAGCCTGGTGATGCCAGCTTGCATGGCTGGCCTTGCATCCCATCCGGGGATGTGGCCCGGGGCCCTTGTAACTGCTCAGAACAAGGAGCCTTCCTTCCTTTCTTCCGGCTGATGTTTTCTCGGAAGTTTCTGAGAAAGGTCCAGGCAAGAGGCTCAGAGTCTGAATCACCTGGAGGACAGTCTTTGCCTCCCCACCTATTCTCCCGTGCCCAGGGTGCAGCCCTTACCCTCCCCACGCTTTGCTTTTCTCGTCTGAAAAATGGGCAAAGAGCATCTCCCGGCAGGGCTGTCGTGAAGATTGTCACTGTGGCACCGAGGCTAGAGTAATGAGTGAGACTTTCGCATCCT